TTTATTTTTATAGAAGCATTTTTATTTTACAAATGCTTTTGTCACACTCCAGAACAGAACTCTGTCACTCCTGGTGGGGAAAGCCTGTCTGCTTGGGTCAGGAGTCCATAGTCAAGGCCCCCTCTTTACCTTATGGAAGTCCCCCAATTGCCCTATTGTAAAGAAAGGACCTGAGAGGAAACAAATCACCTTTGTCCAAACCTGAATAGTGATAGTGTCACTAAGCATTAGGAGGAAGAGGCACAGTGTTCTTTGGCTTCTCATTACTCTGATCAGGGAATAGGCTGGAGTTGGCGGTTGTGTGTGTGTATGTGTGTGTGTGTGTGTGTGTGTAAATCTGTAGAAAAAATGACTCACTAGCCCTACTTCCTAAACTGGGTCATTCATTGCTTTAGAAAAACCAGGAGTGATAGAGCACCTCTTCTCCTAGCCAACCCTTGCCAGCCCTCCCCTGCTCTTACAGTTCTGTCTCTAAAGCCTGCCTCACCACTTGGAGTAGAATTTAATTGCTGGAACCCTGATTCATTAAACAATTTCTAGTTTGGCACATAACAACAACAACAGTTTGATCCCTAATGTCTCTGAGACTCTCCTTTCTCCCAAAGCCTTGCTTTCCTGTGACCCTACTTAGATTCCTCATGGCTTTGGAGGTTTAGTAGTGAGGGAATCAAACTCATGTTATATAACCATTAGCTCCTGCTTCTCTGGGAAGCCATATTGAACTTTGTGCTGGTCAAACAGCTTACACAGGGCACTGATGTAGAGTGCATGGTACTTGTTCACTGTCTCCTTGTTGGGCTTCCGAATCCTGGGGATTGGTATGGGCTCTCCAACTATGAGAAAGGAGAAGAGACAAGTTTCAGCATTAGTCTGCCCTGCCCCCTGCCACCCCATCCCAATATCCAAAGTATTCATTCCTCCAAAGAAGATATGTACTGGAAACCGGTATCTAGGTCCCCTCTCCTTCCTTCATTCTTTCCCTCTGTTTCAGCCCCAGCCTGTCCCTCATTCTCCAATCACTTAATCCCACACATTCCCAAGAGAATGAAAGTAAGATGAAGAATGAATGAGACTAAAAGAGTGCTGAAGGAATGTGTGTGAATAATAATGCTATCACAGCAGCTGTTGAACTCTTTCTCCCCCTCCCCCTTAATGGCCATAATCTTTATCTTTTTAGTTGTCTTCCCATTTTGTCCTCAACCACACCTTATTGCCCATCCCAGTTGTGAGCTGGGTTCTAGGACTTGATGGATGATCTAGGAAGAGGGAGGTCAAAGACAAGGGTGGTCTGGGGGTCCTGGAAAACTCACCAACAGTGGTAATGGGCTGGTTGAAAGGCAGGAAACCCCAGGATCCACGAATGAGGCCCTGGCCATGGAAGGTACAGAAACTTATACCCAGGATTTTTTTTAATGTGTCCTGGAAGGTTTTTTGGAAGAACCTTATCCATGTGCCCTCAGGGAAAGTCTTCTGATTGTGAACATCATTCTCTCCAAATGAATAGGAAGGGACAAGGTATGCCCTGCAAAGAGGGGGTAAGAGTCTGAGTTCTCTGAATAAGCTTCCCTGAAAAACCCTCTCCAACCTCCCCATTACAATACAAGAACCCAAACATCCAAACATCTCATAGCTCATTCCTGCCATACTCTATCCTCCCAGCTGTACCCCTTAAGGTCAGCTGCTGCTCCTTTTCCTATGATGAGAAGAAACTAACCTCAGGCGATCTCACTGCCTTCATTGCACACAGCAACCAGGGTGGTCTTCCTAAACTGCATATCTGGGCATATCACTCCTCTGCTCAGAGCTCTTCCATAGCTCCTCATTTTGTACCCCACTGCTTGGTTGTTAGTTGCTTTTGAGTTGGCTTTGACTCATGGTGACCCCAAGTACAACAACGAAACAAAATGTTGCCTGGTTCTACAATATCTTCATAATCCTTGGTATGTTTGAGCCCATTGTTGTGGCCACTGTGTATTTTGAGTGCCTTCCAACCTAAGGGGTTCATCTTCCAGCACTATATCAGACAATATTCTATTGTGATCCCTAGGGTTTTCATTGGCTAATTTTTAGAAGTTGATCACTAGGCTTTTCTTCCTTTTTGTCTTAGTTTGGAAGTTCCACTGAAGTCTACTCACTATGGGTGACCCTGCTGGTATTTGAAATACCAAAGGCATAGCTTCTAGCATCATAGCAACATGCAAGCCACCACAATAAGAAAAACTGACAGATGCATGGCCTTTATGCTCTAGCTCTGTCTACCGAGCTAGCTTCACCTCTCCCTACTTCTTCCTATCAATCTGCTTAGCCATACTAAGTGTGCCAAGTTTTCTCTTGTCTATGTATCTTTGTACATTCTACACTCACTGCTTCAAATGCCTTCCTTCTGTCTTTATATGGCTAATTTTATTTTGTCCTTCAGTATTCAGTGCAGAGGGAGCTCTGGTAGCATAGTGGTTAAGGCACTTGACTGCTAACCAGAAGGCTGGCAGTTCAAACCCCCCAGCCACTCCTCAAAAGGAAGATGGGGCAGTCTACTTCTGTAGTGATACTGCCTCAGAAACCCAAGGAGGGGTCGCTATGAGTTGGGTCCGACTTGACAGCACATAACAACAAAAACAACAATTCAGTGCAGAAGTGGGAAGAGTATATATAAGAGTATATATAATCATAGTGTGATGATACAAAATATGTATGAGCTGTTGAATGGAAAATGAATCTGCTCTGTAAACTTTCAACAAAATGACAATAAAAAGTTAAATAAATAAAGTGTTAAAAAAAAACAAACAAAACAAAAAAATACTCAGTGCCTATTTCATCCCTTTGAAGCAACTTTCTTTGACCACCGCTAATCTCCCCAAGCGTCTCTTCTACACCAACATTATCCTAAACTTACATTACAGTCATCTGCTTACCTGTCTGGCTTCCCTAATAGACAGAAAGCCAATCAAAGATAGGAGCTTTGTCTTTTTCATCTTTGAATCATAAGGGCATGGCACAGTGCCTGACACATTAAATTTCTTTTAGTCTGACCTATAACTCCTACTATTTCAGTCCAAAATTCAGATGTCACCCACTTATGTATCAAAGTTCTTCCATCAATTGGTGCTCTCATAGTACATTGAACTTATTTTCATTTATTCACCAAATATTTGAGTTCTTTCTATGTGCCAGCACTGTTTTAGGCCCTGGAGATACTCAGTGACTATAACAGATAAATACAGAAACTCTGTCCTCATAGAGCTTACCTTTTCTTAGGGAAAGACATAAATAAATACATAAATAAAATAGATGACATACAGAAGATGATAAATGCAATAGGTAAAAAGAGAGCAGGATGGTCAGAGTAGACCTTATTGAGGAGATGATGTTTGAGCAAAGACTTGAAGCTAGAGAAATAAACCAAGTAGTTATTTGGAGGAATGGTGTTCTAAGCAGAGAGACAGTTAGAGCAAAGCCCCTAAGGCAGGAATGTGTGGCCTGCTTGAGTGAGAGCAAGGAGGCCAATGAGTGAACAAGGGGAAGAGTAGAGGGTGATGAGGTCAGAGAGGGTTCTGGTGACTAGATCATTTAGGATCTTGGGGGTCCTTGTAACGACTTTGGCTTTTGCTCTGAGTGAAATGGGAGCCATTTTTAGTAATGACACGATCTTACTTTTAATAAGATCATCCTGGTTGTGGTTAAAAATATACTGTTGGGGGTGGAGGAGGTAGGGATAGAAGGGAGATCAACTAGGATGCAATAATCCAGAGGAGAGATAATGGTAACTTAGATCAGGGGATAGTAGTTGAGGCAGTAAGAAGTGGTTGAATTCACACTTCACTAAGGATATTCAGGTGGTCAGCTAATACATGAAAAGATACTCACAATCATTGGCCATCAGAGAGATGTAAATCAAAACAACAATGAGATATACCAACTCACCCCAGCACTGATGGCATGGTTCAATGAGACAGAAAATAACAAATGCTGGTGGGGATGCGGAGAGATTGGGACTCTCATACACTGCTTGTGTGACTGTGAAGTGACACAACCACTGTGGAAAGCATTATGGCGATTCCTTAGAAAGCTGGAATTGGAGATACTATTTGACCCAGCAATCCCATTACCAGGTATATATCCTAGAGAGGTGAGAGCCAGGATAGAAACAGATACATGAACGCTCATGTTCATCATAGCATATTTACAATAGCAAAAAGATGGAAACAACATACATGCCCATCAGCAGAAGAGTGGATGACCAAACTATGGTACATACACATACTGGAATGCTATGCAGCACTAAAGAATAATGTAGAGTCTGCAAAATACTGCATAATATGGATGAACTTGGAGGATATTATGCTGAGTGAAATAAGTCAATCACAGAAGAACAAATATAATATTAGTTCATTGTTGTGGAGGGTCAAGGAAAGGTTTATATATGGAGGGAAATTTTCTTTGTTGGTTGCCAGGGGTGGGAGGGGACGGGAGGGAACACTGCAAAAAAAAAAAATGCATTGACCCATGTCACTTTAGTTTTGTGTATTTCACTGTACATAAATTACATTTCAATAAAATGCATTTAAAGAAAAAAAAGTGGTTGAATTCTGGATATATTTTGTAATTATCTTTTCCTCATTGGACTGTGAGCTCCTTAAAGACAGGGACCAGTTTTCATTTATTTTTATACCCTCATTGCCTATACTGTGCCTGACAAACAGTTCGACAACTGCTTAATGAATGTATTCTATTTTTCAAACAAGTTTGTATGCTCTTTGAGGGCAGTAATCATGTCTTATTTACCTTTGTGATTCTCCCAGTATCAATCCCTTGATAGGTTAATGGTTTAATGGGTTAATATGGAGTGAAGCTCTCATCCTTGAGTCCTCAGCGTACTAGGTTAATGTGCAAAAAGTGAAAGGTCATCTGTTGTTCTTTATCCAACCTCAGGTAGGAAAGGTGCCCACTAAAATGTGCCTGGAGGTCCAAACACCCTTAAGGTACAGTGTAAGGGGCGTTGGCTCTTGCTTTAAATGAAATGGGAGGGGTAGAAAGAAGCAATTGGAGTGAAGAGGGGCTCTCTATAACAGGTTTCTCAGGGAGGGCATCATCCTGGAGATGTGCTACAGAAGGCTTATGGCATACTAACAAGAGAGCACCAGAACTTAGGGACCCACCCAGTCTTCAGTGCCAACTTCACAAAGCCTTTACGTTGTTTGAGAAAGATGGTGGAGGATCCTGGTCGGGACAAGAGGGCTTCAGTAGCTCCACCCACAACAATAATCACTGCATTGCCTGAGCCATTCTGGGCCAGCAAGTAGTTCAAGGCCACCTCACTCACTGGACTCAAACCTGTGAAATCAAAGAATCAAGTGACATAACAAACTTGGTGCCTGAGGATGGGGTAAGGCATTCCGCTGGGTTCCTCTTCCTGGAGATAATTCTGTTTCCTGACTACTGCTGTTTCTGCCCTTCTCAGTCTTTGACATCCACATCCTGGGTTAGCCCTAGCCTAAGATTGGTCCTTAGGGTCAGCTCCTTACCTTGGAGGTTTGTGCCTCTACATTAAGTTCTTCTGCTCCCATAGTCTACTATCTTTCAGCACAATAGTATTTGAACTCACCCTCTTCCACCCCAACCACCAGTGTCCTCCACGCTACTGGGCTGGCAGCACTGGAGACCCTCCAGAATTAACTCTGTTAGGAATGATCAAAGATTAGCCTCCTCTACCCAACCTGCCTCCTCCCTAAGAGCAATCTGTCAAAGGGGAGCCATTAGCTAGGGTTTCTGGAGAGTAGGCAGACCCACTCTCTGAGAGCTCTGGTAGCATAGTGACTAAGGCCCTTGACTGCTAACCAGAAGGCTGGCGGTTCAAATTCACCAGCCACTCCTCAGAAGGAAGATGGGGCAATCTACTTCCATAGTGATACTGCCTCAGAAACCCAAGGAGGGGTCGCTATGAGTCATGTCTGACTCGACGGCACATAACAACAACAACAACAACAACAACAGGCAGACCCACAAGCCTACTCAAAACCAAATTAAAGTACAGTAGAACAACGAAATAAGGGTGATACCCTGTTGTTCAACAATAGTATTTTTTCATTCCATCCCCCACTTTTGCCCTGTGCTTGTCTTCTATTTTCTCCTGGGATGGCAGAAATTGCCTCCAGATCCCAGTCATTAAGAGAGATCCCTGCTCCAGGGCCATATAAACCACAAAAGGAAGCAGAAACAGCTTTGTGGGATCAAGTGTTCTCATCTAGCCCCTCCAGATACATGTATCTTACTTTTCCATGTTTGGCTTCAATTGTTTTCTGGTGTTCAGAAAGATGGGTATTCATCCAGAGAGAAGGCTATTTGTCACAATGCCCTGGCTTGAGGCCTGTCCTTGAGAAGCTGTTCTGAACTCTAATGGATGCCTATCCTTCATTCCTTAATGTCTTATGCAAGAGTGAAGGGTTTCCCAGGAGATAAAGTGCATGGGCCAGGAGCATACCTGCTAGCATGAGAGACTTCAAAATGTCTTTAAGACATTCTGGAATGACAGTTGCTACACAAATGACGACCAAAAGGAGCCAACTGATATCCTAGAAAAAGTTCACATGAGTTGCTCCATTCCTGCCTTATTTCTCTTGTATTTGAGTTTGATACTTGGCTTTCACCTTCTGCTTTCCAATTTGGCTTTGACTTGACTCAAGACTTCCAGTTCCTCCTCTGAAAGGATTCTTTGTGACTCTTAGGAATGCCCATAACTTACACTGCTGTCCAACCCTGCCTCTCATATTTTGGACAGAAGTTGATGCCTAGTGCCATACTCCTGTTCCTGTCTTAGTGTGTTCTGGACTAATTTTCTACCAAGCTCTCTTCCAGCAGGGAATAACAGTTGAACTATTAGGGCTTATTGGGGCTGGGTCCCTGAGGTGGTCAGAGAATGAGATAATTTCTTATACTCACCCATTGACATCATATATTCTCTCAAAATTGGGATCCAGAAGAACCCCTCCAAGGTCCCTAGAGAGGGAGTTATGGCTGGGAATATCCAAGAAAAGCCAGTAGCCTCAGTGGCAAAGTTGATGAAGGCGCCATAAGACACAATTCCATGGGGGTGGTTGCCAATAATGTAGTTGTGTTTGGGAGAGAGGTCATGAGTCTTCACCAGCTGTTAGAGGGAGATTGAGTTAGAGCATTGACTAGTAAGAAGGAAGAGAGGAAGTGTTGACTCAAACTGAGTAGGTAGCTTTGTGTTTCCCTTGGAGAGCCCCAAATCCATGTTCATTAGGATGTCATCATGGTCACAGGATTGCCAGGGTCATGATGTTCAGAAAGGCTGACTTGGGTTTGCCACTGTGGGGAAAGGCTGCTCTCCATCTGGCCTCCACCTGCCCATCCATCTTGGACCTCTGGTCTGCATTATGCCTCTGGACCTTGACCTTCACTGCTGACCACCAAAGCCTTTGCAAACATGAAACTGAGAGGGGAAGGAAAATCTGGGCAATAGGGACTGAGAGCACCCAGAGGAAGGGTGGTTACCTTTATTGGGAAGTAATCTCGAAAATACTTCCAGAGTGTCCAGTTTCGTACCCAAGCTGAATGCCTACCACCTGTGGGTACAGAAGGGAAGGGAAGAACAAGAAGGGCATTGCCAATCTCTCTGTCCTCTCTCAGAGGTGAAGGGTTCTCTCTACAGTCTTCAGGTTACAGCAGGGGCCGCCTCCTCACACTTCCATATTTCTAGAGATGTAGATACTTATTTCCATGGAGTCAACTCCGATTCATAGTGACCTGTATAAGACACTTGGTTTCCAAGACAGCAATCTTTACAGAAACAGACTGCTTTATCTTTCTCCCACAGAGCAGCTGGTGGGTTAGAATTGCTGATCTGTTAGCACCAAATGCTTAACCACTGTACCACCAGGGTTCCTTAGAGGCATAAATGTTGTCCCTGGATCCAACCCCTAAGGCATAGGAAACCCCTGTTCCTCTGGAGCCAGTAAAAAAGGGAAACAACCTGAGGCTGGGGGCATATGCTCCAGAAACCTCAACTTCTTAATTTTTCATGGGCAACATGGCAGGAACCTCTGTCCCTGCTGAGTTTTCCTCTTCTCTCCCTTCCCTGTTTTCCACTCTATTCCTCCCTCTCTCCACATTTTCCCCTCCTTTACCCTCTCTTTTCCTTTTTTCTCTCTTCTAACCTCTTCTCCCTCTGCTTCTCCACCCTCTCCCATATACCTCCTTCTCCCTCTATGGCCCTGGAGTCATTTTTCCATCCTTGGCACAGACAGGGACCACCACTCTGCCCGTTCCCCTCACCTTGACTGTGAGTGTTCCAATCATAGGCAAGCCAGGCTAAGAAGAACATGGCCAAGGTCCAGAACTTAGTGAACACCAGAAAGTAGGGCATAAGCAAAATGGGAGTAGCTCCTGAGGAGACACAAAGAGTTTATGCCCTTCAGTTCCCTTCAAGTTTCAGCACATCTCCCATAACCCTGATCTCTCTGAAGGAGTGAATTAAGCTGGTGTGGGACTCTGCTTTCCCACCTCCCCCAACTGCCTAGCTCGCTGTGGTCAGAACCAGCCTCTGGGCCCTTTTATCTGGGTTCACATTATGGTTGAAATCTTAATTGAGGAAACAATCAAGCCATGAAGTTCTCAGTTTGCTCTCAGCTGGGGTCAAAGAGCAGCACAATTCAACAAGGGGAAAGAACAGTGCCTCTGGCCAGTGGCTTGACATTCCCATCTTTTCTTAAAGGTTGTTCCTTCTTTTGTTGAATTGCTAAGTCAGCATTTTCCAGTGAAGAAGGGTTGCCTTCAGTGTATAGGCTATTTATGCTGAGAAGAAAATATGGATTAGACACTGCTTTACTATGTCTATTTTGTCCTGTTCAAAATGTCCCAAAGGTTCTTAAGGTGAAAAGTTTGTCTCTATTAGCAAAGAGCCACAGCAGGCTATGAAATGCAAACATGTTATGTATCACAGTAGTGGGAATTTAATTCTATTATAAAATCTGCATTCATGAGAAACAGGGGCAAAGTACATATATTGTGATTTTATGGTGTAGTGCCTAAGGCATTTGACTACTAACTAGAAGGCTGGCGGTTCAAACCCACAAGCCACTCCTTGGAAGGAGATTGGGCAATCTACTTCTGCAGTGATCCCACCTCAGAAACCCAAGGAGGGGTCACTATAAGTCGGATCTGACTCAAAGCCAGTGAGTTTGGTTTTTGGTTTTTAGCTAAGAGAATGGCTTCTCTGATCAGGGAACCACATTACAGTTGATAAAAGTTTCAAGGAAGGGGAAGAAACTCAAGAGTTCTTTACCCAGCAAGTTTGGTTCTTTTATTTTGGACATGTATGAAAATAGCAATAATAAGACTGAATGAAAATTTCTTTTAAAAATCATGTTATGAGATAGAAGAAACCTTAGTGATAGGCTGAATCCCCCTTACCAGAGCTGGCTGAGATGGTTGTTACAAGTATGCTAATTAAATAGGAAATTATGGTGGAAGGAATTTTATGGGAAGCCTGCCACGGATAAAAGTCCTACTAACTCTGATACCCACCACTCATCTGTCAGTTTGTTGTACTGTGGTGGCTTGCATGTTGCTGCGAGGCTGGAAGCTATGTCACTGGCATTTCAAATATGAGGAGGGTCCGCATGATGGAAAGGTTTCAGTGAAGCTTCCAGACTAAGACAGACTAGGAAGAAGGATGGGGCTATCCACTTCTGAAAAAACTGGCCACTAAACACCTTATAAATAGCTGCAAAATACTGTCTGATATATTACTGGAAAACTTTATGAATGGCCTTGAAACATTGTTTGATATAATGCCTAAAGATGAAGTTGGAAGGTACTCAAAATAAACTGGGCAAGAGCTGCCTCCCTAAAGTAGAATCAACCTTAATGACATGGATGGAGTAAAGCTTTCAGGACCTTCATTTGCTAACGAGGCATGACTCAAAATGGGAAGAAACAGCTGTGAACATTCATTAATAATCAGAACATGGAATTTATGAAGTATGAATCTAGGAAAGTTGAAAATTGTCAAAAATGATTGGAATGGATAAAGATCGATATCCTAGGCATTAGTGAGCTGAAATGGAATGGTATTGGCCATTTTGAATCTGACAATCATATGATCTACTATGCTAGGAATGACAAATTGAAGAGGAATAGTGTTGCACTTATTCTCAAAAACAACATCTCAAGATCTATCCTGAAGTACAATGCTGCCAGTGATAGGATAATATACATACATTTACAAGGAAGACCAGTTAATATGATTATTATTCAAATTTACACACCAACTACTAAAGCTAATGAAATTAAAGATTTTGACCAACTTCTGCAGTCTACAATTGACCAAACATACAATCAAGATGTACTGATAATTACTGGTGATTGGAATGCAAAAGCTGGAAGTAAAGAAGAATCACTGATAGTTGGAAAATATGGCTTTGGTGATAGAAATGATGCTAGAGATTGCATGTTATAATTTTGCAAGACCAATAACTTATAAATTGCAAATATGTTTTTTTGTAACAGCATAAATGGAGATTATACATGTAGACCTCACCAGATGGAATACAGAGAAATCAGATAGACTATATCTGTGAAAAGAGGTGATGGAGAAGCTCAATATCATCAGTCAAAACAAGGCCAGGAGCTGGCTATGGAACAGACCATCAATTGCATATACAAGTTCAAGTTGAAGCTAATGAAAATTATAACAAGCCCATAAGAGCAAAAATACAACCTTGATTATATCTCACCTGAATTTAGAGACCATTTGAAGAATAGATCTGACGCATTGAACACCAATGACCAAAGACCAGAAATGTTGTGGGATGACATCAAGAACATCATACACGGAAAAAACAAAAGGCCATTGAAAAGACAGGAAGAGGTATAGACAACAAAGATAAACACTTTTACATATACAATGCTGCATTATCAGTAATAAAAAACAGTAATCTATGAGTAGATACATAGATAAACAGGTTGAACGATCAGCTATGTCCACACAAAAGGGAATATACCCAGGACCATATATAAGGTTGGCAGGTAATATTTCTATGTAAGTACTTATATGTGCTGTAAGACTGTCCATATAAATGGAACTAACAGGGGTAAAGTTATAATAACTTCTTAGCCATAGCCAACCACCCTGAGGGAGTGAGTTGGTGGCTTGGGACTGTGGTTCTGGGGGACATCAAGCTCAATTGGGATAACATACCACACAAAAACATTGTTCTACATCCTACTTTCACGAGTAGTGACTGGGGTCTTAAAAGCTTGTAAGCGGCCATCAAGATACAACAGCTGGTCTCTCCTTGTCCAAAGTGAAGGAGAATGAAGAAAACCAAAGATGCATGGAAACAATTAGTTCAAGGGACTAGTGGACCATGTGAACCTCAGCCTATATAATCATGAGACCAGAAGAACTAGATGGTGACCAGCTACCACTGTCAACTGCCTAGATAGGGAACAGTGTAAGAGATCCTGGATAGGGTAGGAGAAAAATGTGGAACAAAATTCAAAGTCATAAAAAAGATCAGGCTTCCTGATGTGATAGAGACTGGTAAAACTCCTGAGACTGTGGCTCCTAGTCACCCTTCAGGCCATAAATAGATACATGCATAAATAAATAAAATATTTTCTTTTGAGGTAGGGAAAATGAGAGAGTGACAATGTCTATTTGCTCATACTCCTGCCTATCCTGAGGAGCTCTGGTAGCGTAGTGCCTAAAGCACTTGACTGCTAACCAGAAGGATGGCAGTTCAAACCCACCAGCTACTCCTTGGAAGGAAAGTTGGGCAATCTACTTCCGTAGTGATACTTCCTTGGAAACCCAAGGAGTGGTTGCTGTGAGTTGGGTCCGACTTGACGGCACATAACAACAGCGACAACTGCTGCCTATCCCGAGTGCCTGAACTTTTGAATGTCTCCAGTCTCCCAGGCAGTGGAAACCTTCTCTCAGGTAGACATGTATGGCAATCAAATTCCCTGGTGGTATAAGCACTCTTGAGTGCAAGGCTTCCCAGATGTGTGCATGTTCTTTGAATCTGTGAGTGGATAGGTTCTGTAGGAAGAGTTCAGCTTAGTAGGATTCCACAATTGCATTCCCGTCCATGAAACAGACTGGGTTAAGTGTGTATCACTATGTGAAAGTAAACAGGGTCTCAATCTCCATGCCTAGCCTATGAAATCATGCAATTCCTCATGTATGTTTTTTGTGTGAGTTTGTGTCTGCGTGTGTTGGTTTTGTGTTGGAGTTAGTCTGCCACTGGTTTTCTTTTAGATTATGTAGAATTTTTTCTGTGGCATTAAGGCATTAAGACATTAGGCATTAAGGCTATGCAATTTGTAGTTTGCCAGAAACTGATTCGGCTATCGATTTAGTACTGAAATTCATATGATTTCCTGCTTGATCACTGTGTTCAATTCAAAACATAAAGTATAACTTGTTGCAGGATTGTGTGTCCTTTTTGTTAGCATGAGCCATTTGATTATTTTATTTTTTCCCTCCTTGACCTATCATCCAATTCCCTTGTGATTCCATGGGATTTCCAAAGTATAGGTCCTGATGCCCAAAAGGGAATGTCTAGCAACCATTGGTAATGCATCTTGCAAAGACATCCTTTGTTCACCTGGGGTCTATAGTCCAGTGTGTCAATATGCTGCATTTAAAATAATACATAAACTTAAATGATTATACTTAGTCAGTATTTATGATACTAATTAAATGTAATATTATTTAAAAACTTCTCTCAGTTATCCACTAGTCCTAAAGAAAGTCTAACCATACCTGGGTAAACAGCATCTATCTTGTGGAATCTATTGTAACTGAAGGTATTGGAATTTCAGGAGACCAGAAGCGTCCTTTGATGGCAAACCTTCAAGATCCAGCCTGTTTGAGAGTCATCAGTGCCACTCACAGTGACAGGACTGGTATTTAAAGAGACAGAAGAAACAGAGGCCTAGCATGAAAGAGCTAAATCTCATGGAACTCCAAGTTCATGAAAAAAGGAATTCTATGACATAAAGTAAAGGCATCTGAGGGAGGAAAGATGAAAAATAAGCATTTGTATGTATATGTGACTCCCCGTTAAATATTTTAACCATAACATCATGAGATGTGCATTATCAAGGAGCTCACATGAGGTAGGCTCCTAATGTAGTTTATACTGAAGATGGCAACGCCATTGTACTAGGGGTGTATCTTTTCATAATTTTAATTTGCATTTCCCTAATAGCTAATGATGCAGAACATCTTCTCAAATGCTTATCTCTCTTCTGTATATTTTCTTGGGTGAAGTGTCTTTTTAAATCTTTTGCCAATTTTTTAATTGTGTTGTTCTCTTTCTATTGAGTTTTATTTTTCAATTTTATTGTGTTGAAAATACACATAACAAAACATC